ATCACTTCACCTTACATTTTTATTACAAGTACTAAAATAAAATCAACCATCTCTCACTCGTTTTATGTCACTGCAGCAAATGAATTCAGCTATAACTTCTTACCAAGCTTGAAGGCCATACTGGAGAACATTTTCCTGAGATCATTACAAAAAAACAAAAACAGATGGTTAATGTTCCTCCGTGGAACTCGATCAAGCAAAGTTAGCAAATGATTTATCATATCGCACTTCCACTAAACTTTTTAATTTCAAACTCGGTGCCTTTCAAAACAAGAATACATGGGTTATGATCGTTTTGGTGGAAACGGTCCATATGCAAAGGTACCAAGCGATTAAGAACCAATTCAGTGCCATTATTTACCTCAAGGCTATCTTGATCTATTCTAATGCAAAGTTACGTTAATTTTCTTAACTGCTAAAAAGTGGTATACATGTAGCCCCTACTATTTAGGATTTAACCCAGCACCAAACCCAGTGTCTTTGCAGAATTGTGGGAGTTTTTGAGCAGATAATTCATAACTATTCGAATCATTTCTCCTAAATCTTTCAGCTAGAAGAACTAGCTTGGATACATTTCGATAGGATTGAAACTATCAACCATCATACACATGTTTAGTGATAAAATTGCCTACGGACATTCCACCACCTGGGCTGATTTATGCATTATTGCCACTGACTCGTAGGCCTTGGGTACCCCTCAAATCTCGGAGTTTCCACAATAACTTTGTTCTTTAATGAATTATTGGACAGATAACGAAAACACGGACCGATTACTAAAAGACAATTGCAAAAATTAACATACAAATAAAAGCAAAGGCAAATCATTTAAATAAGAATTTTTGTCAACGTCGTTAACAGTCCTTATCAAAACGCGTCAGTAGCGTAGCCGAGAAGCGAGAGAGGCTGACTGAAACTGACCAACGCTACGAAGGGATAATCTCCCTACGACCCCTCGCTGACCAAGCTACGAACTACTTTGAACTCACCTCTTCTGAACGAGTTAAAGTCGGTCATACAGACTTGCAAGAAAAACTCCACACTACAAAAGACTAGCACAAGATCTCCCATACGAAATAGGACTTTTACCGCTAATGGAAGGAGAAATACAAAGCATCTGCGTTTCACTCAAAAATCTGTAGTGAAGATGAACTTGTAGCGTGACAATTGCTGAGGCATTCTGGGAAAACCAAACGCAAGTTCTCATTGGAGCAATAAAGAGGTGTGACGGAGGTGTGTCCATTACCTTGGTTACGGAACTTCGCGGCGAAATACTTCTAGAGGGAAAATGGTTACCCGTGTGGATAAGCATAAAATGCGGATATATTGAAACAGCATCATATGGATAAACATTTTTATTTTTGAAACATAATTTATGGGCACCACTACTACCGTAAGTTAATAAAATATTCGCAATTCTTTACTAGGTATTAACTCATCTAAACTAGGTTGCAGAATTTGAAAGCCACTTTTAAAAATTATCTTCCTCGTTTCTTTAAGTAAAGGAATATTGACATGTGTTGTTTCAGGAAATATTGAAGTCACCCTATGGCAGCCAAGCTGTGAATGGTGTATACATGTATGCTAATACGCAATGCAAGAATGAAAACCAGGGGCAAGGAGTTGTTAAGATTATCGATATATGTGACAGTTGTACACACGAAATTTTTCCAGTTGCTGGAACAACACAATTCAAACTTTTTTGAGGTTTAAAAAAAAGCTGTAAAGTAGTATATCAATCAA